GTATAAATTATAAAAAGGTAAAATGTGTGAATTTAAAAAAAAATCTTCAAAGTTGCTCAAGAACTTTTCAATTAATTATTTTACTTTTCAATTTTTTCACAAAAAATTTTTTTAATTGAGAAATTAATATTTTAGAATTTTTTGTTAATTTTTATTATAAATATTATTTTTATATTTATTTATTTAATATTTATAAATATTATTTTTTATTATAAAAAATTAGTTTTTTTATTAATTAAATGAAAATAAATAAATTTTACATATTTTTCAAATTACTCTACATTTTTAAAAAACTTAAAAAAAAAATTACTGTTGTAGAACCAATCGGTTACCGTGTTTTATCCGGTTTAAAATTTACAAAAAGTAAATTTTTTTTTTATTTTTTAAATACAATATGAAATTGATTTTATTATTCTTTTTCATGCAATTTTATGCCAAATGAAAAAATCTTATGTGTATGATTTATCAATTTATCATGAAACTTAATTTTTAGTTATTCATTCATGGAGTATTAAAATTATTTGAGAACTTTGGAAATATTAAAATAATCAATGAAATATTTATAAATAAAGGATTTCCTTAATTAGTTACAAATAAAAGACATCACCATGGAACAATCACATGTTTCGCACTGTCGAAACTAGTATTAAAAGTCTTTGATAGATGGCGCATGGCCGCAGAACTGTTCCTTTCTAGATACTTGACTTTGAAGTGTTAAGTTCCGAAAAGAGGAGAATTTTGGTACTCTATAAATGAGTTTATCTGTTTTTGAAAAAAGTTGTAAAAACAACTAAAATAAATGTTGTATCAACTTTATTATAAATGTAAATTTGTTCATCAATTTTATTTAGGCTTCAGGTTTGTCTACATCTTGACATGGCCATATCAACCCTGATAAAGTCTGATATTTCCAATGTCTATATTAAGTCTGATCAGAATATTTTTTCACGAGATATAGTTAGATATGATTAGATCTGGACATTTTTTGGATCTGATCATGTATGATTATACACGATCATATATAAACATGTCTGTTCATATATAAACAGATCAAGTTATGTATGATTAGACCTGGCCAATTTGTGGATCTGATTATACATGAGTGATTATACATGATCATATATAATCATATCTGTTCATATATAATCAGATCAAGTCATGTATGATCAGACCTGGCCAATTTTTGGATCTGATCATATATAGACGATATAGCATGATTATATATGATTAGACAAAATCTTTTTTCATCGGGGCTCTCATGGGCGTTTTAGATGTAAAATCATTTTTAATCCTTTTGTATAATAAGAGATATTAAAAATAAAACTTTTCATAACTTTAAATTTTAAATCGATTTTATTTGTCTGACATTTAACTGTAGTTCAAACTATAAACGAAAAAAATTGTCGTAATATAATAATAATAATAATAATAATAATTATTATTATTATTATTATTATTATTATTATTATTACTGCGTTTGCAATACGCTCAAAGATGCAAAATTTTGTCAGTAGAAGCAATAAGGTTCAATTAAAGGCAATTAATGAATAGCTATCATCAGATAAAATCGTAAAAAAATATATATCTTATTAACTTTTTACTGTAAGTAATTGCTGGTGACATTAAAAAGAAATAAATACATATATATGAGTCAGTTTTCTTGAAAAAATTTTTTTTTATCTCCAATTCTTTTGTAATTGATCAACTTTTATGTTTATTACATAAGTATATAATGAATTATTTTATAACTAATAAATTTTTTTAATAATAATCTTCTTCAACATATCTTTTGATGGCTTCTGGTAAAGGAAGTTTATGAATATTATCCCGTCGAGTATTTTGTCGAATAACAAATCGGCATAAATATTGTAAACTTCGGATTTGTGTGAAACGGCTGACAGGTTTCGTGAGTCGAACAGGAAATGCCGGATGACCTGGATGCCTAGGTCGTGAATAACAAAATACCGAATATTTACTGAAACTCATTGAATGATCGACAAGAGCTGGTATCGATGAAAATCTACCACTTTCGCCTTGGTTACAGAGCGAAAACATCCCACCACTGTGCTCGATTCGTGCGTGCAATAATTTCCCGGCGGATTTAAAACTTAACGTTAATAAATGCCTGAAAAAATATTATCATTCAATAAATGCTATTGAAACAATACCTAACTAATATTTATTTTTGCATTAATAATTTTATTTAAAGAGATTTGTTGAATAGTTGAAGAATTCTTTTATTTGCAAGAAAATGCCACTCTAAAATTTTCAGTATGTTTACCCATGGAATGTTAAAAAAAAAAAAAAAAAAAAACAAGTTTTAAAGAGAAAACATTAAATAAATACTTCAGCTTAAATTATAATTCTCTAATTTCATTTTGACTTTTTAAACTCTAGTAGATCACAAAGGATCGATTTGACTCCAAAGTTCTTTCAAGCTCTAGTTAAGGTCCTTAAATTTGAAAATTAGTCATTTTTTATGTGACATAAAGGCCATTTTTCAGTTATTATTTTTTTCGCATTCGATCTTCATAATAAATATACTTTTTGAAACGGGCAATTTCGTAGTAATCTATTAAATTTAGTATAATTAATAAGTCATTAATCTGAATTTGTGTCTTTTAAAAGTTTAATATGTTTTTCAATCATAGTTTATTTATTGTGTTAAGTTTTTTGAGTAGTTATAAATAGATTCGAATTTCGCAATAGATAAAATTTCTTTATTTATTTATTTATATTATGTACATGTGAATCTCGGTTTTTAATCCATATAGTTATGAGAATAAGAATAATTTTGCGACGGGCATAGATTTATTTTGATGGGGATTTTTAAAGTTACATTTGGTATCATCAGAAAGAACTTGAATTGAATTAGCGTCTTTTCACGATTTCATATATTTTTTGGTGACAGTCAATTTTTTACGATAAGTTTTTGGAGCAATTTTTAATTGTTTTTTGGTTCTATAAGTTTGTTCCATCACATTGTCCATTAAATTAATGGTGATTAATCGAATCATAGCAATATTATTTCGTAAAATTATTTAAAAAGTACTTAAACTGTGTATATTGTGATAAGAAATATCGAAAAATCATTAAACCAAACTTTTTTAAAATTCATAATTCGTAATTCACGGCACTCACATAATGACTGCAGGTTGCTAGTTTTTTTTTATTAAAATATTAAATCTGAGGAATAAATCCACATTGTTTATATTTTCCGAGTCGATTCTGAGTAGTAAGAACGATTTTTTAAATATTTAAATGATGAATAATAGTGTAAATAACCGTCGAGTTTTCCCGCTGAAATTTTTCGATAAAAGCTATATGGTTCTTTTATAATTTTAAAATTAATTGTTGAAGTAGGACAAAATGTTTAGGAGCGGGGTCGAATCTACACCGTGTATGATCGCAACGTGACTTTTCGAAAGTGTGATCTACAAGGATTAAAATCATCAAATTATTTTGAAAGCTTAGTTTAACATATTGACAACCTGTATAATTTCACCCAAATACCCATACTAAATCGAATACAACAATTTGCTACTATCTATCAGGACTTTAAAGGTTTCTAACTTTGAAAATAAGTAGAATTATTCTCATGCATAACGATTCGATTTTAATGAACATTTTGTAAGTTAATAGATTTAAAATTTTTTTTTTTTTTATGATTACTTTTGTTACTATTTTTTTCTAATAGAGTGGTCACTATCTCTTAGAAAAATGAGTGCAAATTAAATTTCTTAAATTATATCATTGGTAATTTTATAATTTATAAATATAAAGTAAAAAGTAGGATTATTACCTATCATCAGATGAATCTCGAATTAAAAAAGCACCATCTGGTTCCGAAAGTAATTGAGCATCAGCCTGTTCACCAGACATAGGCCCCCAATACCATCCATATTTACTCAGTTTTAGCAATTCTAGTGATAAAGTCGATTGACTCGATTCTTCATTAATAACATTTGGTTCATCTAAATTATTTTCTCCTCTGCTAAAGTTATTATGAGTGTGAACTGTCGTTATAGTATTAGTATTGATATGTGTTGATTCTTTTGAGTTGCACATAGTCTCTATTTTAGAATGATCGGCATTGCGTTGATTTTCAAAATCGACAGCATCTTCAGATTGTGAAATGCGTTCAGATAATTTTAAGTCTACAGAATCATTTATACTGAGACAATCTTCTTTAAGTCCAGCAAATATTTCATGGCTTGGAGCATTTATTTCCTTCAAATCGGCACCACTCGTTCCTGCATCTGATTCATGAGGCTCTTTTACTGTATTCTATTAAAATATCATATGAATAATCACCAGTACTTCTGATTAACAAAGAAAAAAAAGTAATAACATACCTTCTTTCTAAACTTATGAAAGTTTTTTACAGATAACTTCTTTTTAATACTTTTGAGGAAACTAATGGATTTTTTTTCATCCATCAAATAATCTGTTTTTTTTTTTTTTTTTTTTTTTTTTTTTTTTCACATAAGGTTAATATGTTCAAATTTTCTGAAAAACTTTGTTCAGGTTTATTTTTTCACTGAAATTACAAGTATATTATTTGAGTTTACATAATTTTTTTGTTTTTCAAAAATTTTTAATTGTTGTATTTAAACTTTCATTAATTGAAATTTATATAATAAAATTTACATATAATTTTTATTTGAAATTTGGCAAATCTTTGGCTAAGTTGACGGCTTCTCAAAAGATCTAAATGATTACGATGTTCTTTGAGTACTTCAGAGATGATATTCAGCTTCATGCCTCTATAAAAGCAAAAAGATAAATATAAAAATATAAATATGGTACAATTTGGTTGTGATTAATATTTCAGCACATTTATAAATTTATGAATAATATTTATAAAAACACCTACCGACTGTGTATGTATATTACTTTAGTGTTTTGTCTGAAAGTTGGTAGTAGGTGCACCTACTCAAAATTAACTTAAGATAGAGCCACGTTCTTCTTGTATATGATTTGTAAACATTGACTTAGTTATCTTGGTGTTGTGATGCCTGTGTTTACTGGCTCTCTAATAAGTATTTTTTTTTAACTTTTCAATTTTGATTCCACATAGCGTTAGTTTGTCGTTTTTTTTTTTTTTCAATTATTCATCATTCATGATTTTTTATTTATTTTTTAATAGGATTTTCTTAACGAAAATTTACACTTCAACTTGCCCCCCGGAAGTAAATTATAAATTTTTTTGTTTCTATTAGTTATTAGCTGTTCATTAACATTATTTTTATTCATAAACCACGTTTTTTTTTTTTTTTATCGTATGTTGTGAATCCGAAAGGATTGATCACAACGCTCTCTGTATATTATGTATATTAACGTAGAATTACGTATAAAAAGATGGCTGCAATGAATAATAGCGGGAAAAAATCAGATCGACCCCTTTCTGTCAAAGTTCTGTCAAAAGAAAAAAAAAATATTTTCAAAAAATATGCAAATTGAAAATTTTGTGATTTTTACAGTTTTTGAATTTCATTTTTGTAATATCTCGAACGCTATATTATAGATACAGGAATGGCCTTTCGTTTGTTTAAAAAGGGACACTTGGTGCTATTGAAAAAAAAAATATTTTGGAAAAAAATTTTGAAAAATGTCAAACAAATTTTGAATTTTTGAAAATCGTCAAAAATGACGATTGACATTAAAATTTTAGCTTAGTTTTTTTTTGTATAATACCTTGTATTGATCCTAAAAAAATTTTTTTTTATTTTTTTTCTTTTGGCAGAATTTTGTTACATGATAAAAGAAAACTTCAGACCAAAATTTGTCCGAATCGAAAAGGGGTTGATTCCAACTATCGATCGATTTGATATGGAATGATCCAGGAGTTGAACAAATGTAACAGAAAAATAAGGCGGCTCGGATTTGTTAATTGTTGAAATAAAAAAAATGTTTTCAAATTATAATTAGTTATGCCTGCGCTATTTATTGCAAGAACTTCTGAGATCAAATTGAAGAGTCTGGGCAAAAAAAATCTGTGTAAATGAATTACTGAGTAAAAGATATTATGTATTATCGGATGCCTGTGTAATAGAAATTCTGTATCATTGGAACTCTAGGTAAAAGATGCTCTGTATCATAGAAATCTGGGCAAACGAATTCTGGGTAAAACAATTGTGTCCAATACTAGGTCTGGGCAATCGGATTATGGGTCATTGATGTCCACCCGACGAATTTATAATTACCGGAAACTCCCACGGGAAAACATAAAAACTTTTAAGTGCCGTGCAGTTAGTCTAGACATTCTGAGAAAAATTTCTTTGTTAAAATAAACTTACGCTTGTAATTGTAATGGTCACTTAGAATAAGATATCGAACGTTTTGGAATATTCTTTACGAAACTAGAGAAAACCCAGAGATCTTTATTTATTAATTTTTATTGTCATAATCTTTTAAGAAGCTTATTTTCCAAAACGTTCGCTAAAAAAGGGATTACTCGAGTACCCAAGGCTAGGTCATAAAAACCAGATATCCAGGCGGGCTGCAAATGACCTGGGAACATCGAGGGTTGTCGTGACGTCATTTCAACATGGTCCCATTTTGCCAACTCGAGAAGGGATGCTAGCCGAAGATGAGAGCTGTAGAGGCGCGCGCAACTACCCTCACTACCCTCTGGGCCTCTCCCACTCCAAAGGTACGAACATCTCAACCAGTGGAGTCGGACAACGGAAAACAAGAAGACACTTATCAATAAGCAAGACTTAAGTACGCCACGCGAATATTTTTTTTTTCGAAATTATTGTCGGTACTTTTTATTTGGTAATTTATTGAATAATAAATAATAGATTTGCGCGCAAGGCAAATCTAAATTAAACTAAAATAATCCGAGTATTTTAAATTTAATATATATATCATTTAATTCAACTTATTCGAATTTAAATCTACTCTCCCGCCTTAATCTATTTACTGCGAGTTGAATGCCCTACCGCGTTCCAACGGGCGAATTAAAAGAACTCAATAAATTTACTATAAACAATTTTGGGCTATACAACACGTAAAACGGTATTTTTTTTTTTTTTTTTATTTTAATTAGCAGTTTTCATCCAGCTAAATTATTATACATGCTTTTCTTGCGCATGTGCGTATTTTACATTCAAAGCGGCTTTTTCTAAAAATCAAAATGAACATGAAATAAGACAAAAAACGATTGTTCGATTATAAATTACGTTGATGAAAATCCAAATAAAGAAATGAAAAAATAACTTAAACGTATTAATTTATATGGTTTAATTTGTGATAAGGAGTTGTATTTGCAATTACGGTCTAAGCATGAAATATTTCAATTATTTTTGTTATTTACACTCATCAATTTCCTTAAACTTTTTTTTTTTTTTCAATTTATAAATAATTATTTTTAAAAAATGTACAATAATAGATCAACTGTATGGTTATATTGCTAACTATTATAAAAGTGTTTTAATAAATAAATAAATAAATTTTTTTTATCTATTCAACTTTTGATACTCTTGTAATCTAAATTTATTTATAAAACATTGCTTAAAAGTTTCCAAACCATTTTTACCGCCATTACCGTCGTTCAAAATCATATAAATGATTACACCATCGTAATTATTTCCAGCAGTATCACTTATTTTATATACATGAGTGAACACCAGGTTAAATTTTAAGTAAATATGATTAGATTTTGGAAAATCGACTGAACTGACAGTTACAGAAGCTTGTTCATTGTCAAGCTTCTGTAACTGTCCAACGACACGTAGTCGTTTGGATTCATCCGAATTAGCTTTCATTTCTGCTCGACGTTTTCTTCTCCCATGTATCCAAGTATTTTTGTAAGCACACAACTCATATGTAGCTTCTTTGATATCTTCTAATTTCAATTCCTTAATTTCGATCTAAAGAAAATTGAATAATACAATTATTGATTTATAAGTCTTAAGTAATAATCAATTACTTACATGTAACTCATCGATCAACCAATTTATATATAAATATATATAATTATATATAAATATTTTTTCTCGGGAATGCAGTTTTTAAACATTAACCAACATTCACTGAGAAAAAAAAATACTTTTGCTCAATTAACAATTTCTTGGCTCAAGAAATTCGCTGACAATCAAATATTCTATTATTATTAATTATTAATTTCTTAAGAGAAGAACATCAATATTTATCTTTGGATAATAGATAAACAAAAGAATAGCTTTATTTAAATTAAATAAAAATTACTTCAACCAATTCAACAATTTCTTGAGCTAAGAATATATATTCTTGAAAATTTTCAAGAACGTAAATTCTTGTATCAAGAAAATTTTCTTGATAAAAGTATTTTTTTTCTCAGTGTTGTTTATGAAAAAATAATAAAGAAAAATTATTGTAGTTTCAAAGATTACCTGAGCAATGTTTACGATTTCCAACTTCTTCAGAACGTACTACGGGTTCATTCGAGTGCTGTGGATGTTCGGTTGAAGCTATAAATTAAGAAATGATAATAAATGAAAAATATTTTAATAGTATAAATTTTAGAAAATAAAAATTTATCATATTAAATTATCAAAAACCAAATGAAATTACTCATTTAACTGTAACGGTAATAAATTAAGACACATGTCTATTCATGCATAAAAAGTCCTGACAAATCCACGCCACTTGAATCTAAGGACCTTAATTCTTAAATTAAGAAAATAAAATAAAATTACCTTCTGTCGAGTCTTTGCTAGAAGCTGTTGTTACATTTTTAGTCAGCATCTTGGCAGATGTGTTGTTTAGCAAATTTTCGAGTTCCATCAGCACCATATCATTTCTTAATTCAGGTTGATAAGCATCTTCAGGGTCACTAGTAGCTTGAGCAGATGTAAAAGCACGATGAAGCCTGCGTAAGCCTTGGATGTAAGTAGCTATTCAATGAAAACAAAAGTGATAAGAATTATGTGGGCTATAATAGATTCAGTAACATTTGATTCAAATAAGCTAACGGAAACTTACTAGCTCTGTATTTAATATCAACCTTGTATGATAACCATGAATCGTCAGCTTCATGAAGACTTTTTAGCCACTTTGTCATATATTTTTGTGCCATTTCTGAGGGTGGGTAACGACAATAACACTCGTCTTCTTCGTCAATGGTTATCCACGATCGTGGAACGAGTTCGATCAATTTTTTTTCATTGTCATCATATTCATCAAAAACTACAACTACGTAAGTGGCATCGGTCAAAAATTCTTCTGCGGTCATACTCATGGTAGTGGACATCTAAAATGTTGATTATTAATGAGACAAAAAATTTTATAAGAAAGATCAGACTACAATCAAGAAAACTTTGACAATTTTGAGGTTAGCTTTGATAAATAAATCATTGAAAAAAAAAAATAAAAATCTACAGATAAGAATTTAAATAATTAAATGAAAGTAATTTTTAAAAATTAATTTACTTAAAAAAACGAAATAGTTACAATTTCTGTGAGATAGGTTATGAATAGCATGGTACATACTTATAATAAAGTTTTAGTTGTAAAACACACTTTTTTTTTTTTTACTTACAACCTCAGTGATAATAATTAATTATTAATTAATAAATAATTTTTATTGTTAATAGTTTTTTTCGATTAACCAACTTATCTTTCTTCTTAATTTAACAATCGAAGCGGTTCACAACAGAAGTGATTCGGCGCAGAAGCCCTGACATTGAGTAATGGCGGCTACCCCCTCTCTTCTACAGTGAAAACAGCGCGAAATACAAATAACAAACAAAATGTTGATCTATTATCAAGGTTATAAAAGAATATACACAATGAGTCTCGATATTTTTTATTCATTTATTTTTTTTATACAGTCGTCGTCATTGATTTGTAACGGTTGGCAATGATTCGGGTAAAATAAAAAATTCTCATTTTGAACATCTCTCATTAAAAATTTCAATTAATAATATGTTCAGAAAATAAAAAAAATATACGAAACTATAAATAATATTCACATAAAATAAATAATTGTAGAATTAGACATACATAATTATAGAAATTTATCCAAATAAAAATTACTATACATAAACATAATTAAAGATGAAAAATTCCTATTTGGTAACGCACCAGAGAAATAATTCGAATATTAAAAACTATACAAATAAAATATTTCAAATAAATTTCATGTTTCAATTAAAAGAAAATAAATAAAATATTAGTCTCCTTATAATGACAGTCTTAAAAATAAACAGTTTTAAATAACTATAGCTCAATATAAAGACATTTACTAAATTATTAGATCATATTATAATACAAAATTAAAACTGAAAAGGCCTAAAATTAGAAAATAATCCATTGAAACAATTTAAATTTAAAAAAAATGGAATTATAAAAAGAAGATATAAAGAAAATTAAAAAATAATGACAAAGCTAAATTCAGACAATTCTAATAAAAGACATCAAGGTTATTTGACATGTACACTAATGAACAATTCTAAATATAAAAAAGCTCTACAAATGAACATCTCTTATTATAGACAAGAAAATTTGAAAATCTCTCAATTTGTACATCTCTAATTAAAAAATACAAAAAAAAAAAAAATACAATATTTATAGATTAAAAAATTAAAAAATAAGTAATAGCTTAAATAAACACGCTGTAATGACACTCGTCATCAGCGATGAACGCAGCAATCAACCGCGTACTCCTACCGGCGCGATTACAACCGCGGCTCTGGCACGTACCGTTGCTGGTACTCAATCAGCACTACCTCCCTCAAGCTCTTCGTCTTCGGCATCAACAGAAAGCTTCAATTCTGGAATCGTACCTATGGAAATGTTTACCCATGCGATGCAACAAGCCATCGCTGTGAGCTCTGCCTCTACTGGTGGAGCACAGACAACTTTTTCAGCTTTGCAATCAGCGACTTCTGTTAAGGTGATAATTAATTTTTTTATTATAATTACTTATTACTATTTAATTACTTAGTTATTACTATAATTTTTCCAAGTTTTGCACACAATTCGATTTCATTTAAATTTGATTTTTATTAAACGCATTATTTGTTAAATAATTACAACAAATAATTATATCTTAAGTAAATTTCAACTTTTTCCAGGAACAATTATACATAATTAAAGGGTAAGTATGCATATATTAACGATTATTAGTTATTTTAGAAAGTGTAACATAGATTGATAAAGTTTTTTGATCCTAATCTTTGAAATTTTTAAGTAGACTTTATCCTATTTATTCAAATAATGGAAACTCTTCATGAATCCTATAATATCTGTCAGTCCTCCAATTCGAGAGGAAGTGATAGTCGCTGAATTGCTCATACCATAGAAATGATTCATTTTCATCGAAAAAAAAAACCCTGATTAAGTAAAGGTATTAAATGAATTTTTGAAGAGGATTGACAAAATAAAACTTGTTTGGTAAGTATTGATTAGGTCTTAAAATCACACTAATAAACTAAGACTTGGTGAACACTAATGAGTGCGTTTAAAGCTCAGACTACCAAGCTTAGATTTGGTCGGCAAGTATCAGATCGATCTTGGACCAGATCTGATAAAACAGTAAGTTCGGGTAGCTCAATATTGTACTTTGTTAAGACTTTTTTTTTATACAGTATTATTTTTACACAAAAAGAAAATCAAGTCCAATAGATACATTATTTAATTATTTTTTTTTTAATTTATAAGTTTTTAGTAGATTTGAAAAATTTATTTCGAATCTATTCATAGCTTGAAATTGACGTATTTATTAAACATGAATATAGTTATTTGTTGCCTCATATCAATCGTTGCTTATAAATTTATCTCAACAATTTTATTGCTGGTTATATAATTAATTATTAAAAAATCAGAAATATTTTCATATTAAAATTTGTATATCTTTTGAAGAAAAAAGTGCTAATGCATTGATCGTGATAATTTTAATTATTTATACTAATTCTAGTTGTTTCCCTGAAATTAAATCATAATAAAATATTTATCTTTATAAAATGGATAATAAATCGGAGCTTATTCATCAAAGGACAAAAATAATAAGCCTTTATGTAGCTGGATATAAAAAAAGTGAAATCGTTAAAGAAACTGGATGTCAATTAAATACGGTCAGTAAATGGATCAAAAAATACTCTGAATTTGGAAAGGATGGTTTAATTGACAATCGATGCAAGAATAAAAGAAAAAGAAAAACGACAAGAGATGAAGATGAAGAGTTGTACAGAGCAGCCAAAGAAAATAATTTTAACAGTTGCAAATCTTTTGCTGATCGTGCTAATTTGAACATTTCCCAGTCCACTATTAGCAGACGACTAAAAGAAAAAGGTTTAGTAAATGGAAAAACATGCAAAAAAATACTCTTGACCGAAGACAACCGAAGAGATAGAATTAAGTATTGTCGAGATTATTCACATTGGACAAGTGAGCAATGGGCTAATGTAATATGGTCTGACGAAAAAGTAATTATAAATTAATACTTCCATTAATTGAATTTTTAAAATTTTTTTAAGTTATATCATATATTGTGAAAAATGGAAACAAGTAAATACAGATTAAAGTAAAAGCCCCAGTACCTGCTCAGGAACCAGTACCTGCCCACTCAATGTATTTGTATATCTATATTCACAAATGCAGATATACAAATACATGGAGTGAGCAGATATTGGCTCCTGAGCAGCTATTGGGACTCTTATCTAATGTAAATTAATGTTAAACTATATTTTTTTTCTTAATTTAATTGTTTAAGGGATAATTTCATTAAAGTAAGTGATTATATTTAAATTAATAATAACATAATCGACAACATGCATGATTATTGATCACCACAAGATCTGTAATTACTTGTAATGTGCTTTGTATAGTCACAATTTTCGTTTGAAAGTAACTAAAAAATTTTTAAATTATTTTAATCACAATTATTTATTAAATTCATGTACTTAATACCTTCTTTTCATTTTTGTAGACCTGTAAAAGTGTGACCGATAATAGACTTCGAGTTTGGAGAGAAAAAAACACCCGTATGGTTCCTGAAAATGTTGCTGAAAATGCTCGGTCTAGTCGTATAAGTTCTATGTACTGGGGATGTATGACGTCATATGGATTAATGGAACTGATAGAACTTGACCTTCCATTTACTGCTATAAAGTACAAGAACATTCTCAACAATATTATGTATCCTGCTGCAAGAAGACTATTCCCAGTAGAAATTCATCCAACTATAACTTTTATGCAGGATAATAGTCCTGTGCACAAGGCAAAAATAGTAAATGAATGGTTTCGAGAACACCCCGACATTATCGTTTTGAAACATCCACCATATTCACCAGATCTCAATCCAATAGAAAATATTTGGGGTATAAACAAAATTTATAATAATTATAAAAAATTACTCAGAATACTTGATGTTTCCACTTGCTTATTACATAGAAACAAATTCTTCGTTATAGAACGAATTTTTTTGACTCAAAACATTTTTAAGAAAGATTTTAATTGTATTGTGTGAATTCAATATATTTGAGCCGAGGAAATGTTCGTATTTTAAAATTTGCTATTGATTTAAAATAACAAACAAATAATTAAACTGTAGAAGTAAACTTTTCTTTTTAAGATATAACTTTAGTTACATACTTGACTTTTTTCACTTAGTGGAATAATATTTTTTCAATAGACAATAATAATAGTATTTCAAATGAAAATTAATTTTGTATATATTGATGAATTTGACATTAATTTAATGGTATTAAAAGGATAACTGAATTTATAATACAGAAATTAGCCGACGTTTCTAATATTTTTTTTTTTAAATCATTTAATTAGTACTCTAAAATATTTGTTAAAAATTCCGCGTGTAGTTTTTCAAATTTTTTACTGATGAACTTTTTTTTTCTTATTTTTTTTAATAATTTTTTTAATGAAAAAATTAAAAAAAATTTTTAGATGTCGGTTAACTTAATTTTCATACTTAATTTTATTATTTAGGATTGACTAGTAAAAATTGGAGACCATCTGAGAAAATTAATAATATCAACGACTTACGAGGTTACGTTCAACATGTATGGGATGTACTTGCATCAAAACCTGATTATTGCAAAAACATTGTCAATTCCATGAGAAAAAGATTAATTGAAGTTATAGATAAAGAAGGATATTGGTGTAAATATTGAGGTACAAAATATTAACCTTTATTTAACAAAGTACAAATTCACGAGATTACTACTAAAAATACCAATAAGAACTCATTATCTGTTGATTGGTAATCAAACGAGGTAATCCTGTATACACATTGTCATAAATACTGGATCTTACAGTAGAAATATGTGAAGCTTGTATTGTGATACAACACCTAACCGTCATTTGCCCCACAGATTGAGGTTATAGTATTGTAAACAAACGAAAAAATGACAAAACAAATAAGTGAATAATATTTATTTACTCTATACATTAACGGAGCTTGATTTTTAATGGAAATTAAGTTTATTAATAAAACGGCATGTGCGTGATTCTTAATAATAAGAGGAAATAAATTCTCACTAATTAACTCGTATGTACATATGTGTAATAAAAAAAAAAAAATAATCAAGTGACAAGTAAAAGATGCTGAATTTTGACAATTATATAATCGCATATTTATTTCTCCACTGATGATAAAAAGTCATGTAGAGTATGAACATTATTTTTACGCGGCTCATAATATTATTCAAGTGCAGATGGATAAAATTATAAAATAAATATCTATTTATATTAGTTCTGTCATAAATTGTTTTAATTGTTTACGGGCATTTTATTTTATGCCCTTTATTTTAACTCGTGATTAATTAAAAGCTATTAATTATTATTATTTGAAAGATAATGAACTTAATAAAAGTGAAAGGTAAATCAGAGAATTCGTTTGATTACATTCATGAAAAATGGATTTTTAAGGAAATCAAAGAATCAAATGAACAAAAATTTAAGTGTAAGTCTTATAAATCAAAATTCAAGTGTCCAGCTATTCTACAAAAAATTAGTGATGAATATAAAGGAGATGATAGCTTACACAATCATCCACATCCAGTGATAAGAACAAGGTAAGTTACATTAATGAATATTTAACGTACATAATTTCGCGATATTAGTTCTTTATTCAACTAATTAAAAAAAAAAAAAAAATTATTATTTTTTGTTTTAAGCTTTTATATTTAACCAAAATTACATTGTGAAAACTCTACTTTTAAGAAATGAAACATTTTTTAAGTCTATATTCTTTCATTATTAATAACTATTAATTATATTCTTTAGAATGGAGCCAGTGAACAAGATGAAAGTGCCTAAAACTACTAGAAAAATTACAGCTTCAAAACGGATAACTATTAAACCTACAGTTCCAGAAAAATTAAAAGAATTTAAGAATTTGGTGACCGCCTATCAGTTGATCAAGAGTACATTCATAGCTCAGGTCGAAGCCGATGATGGGTCATGTGCTTCTATTTTATCGACAAAATATTGTTTTGATCTATTGGGAAAGGCTGAAGAAATTTATTTGCATGCGACATATAAAGTAAGATATAATTATTAATTAATGACAAAAAATCTAATCTTATTTATTTGAATTATATTATAGATTCAGCTTAGTGATATTAAAATATCCCAAATATTAATTTTCTTTGTGAGAAGAAATAATATTGTAACTATTACAACAACAATAATTTTTTCATATATGAATTTATAAGAATAATATTTTTATACTTCATTTATTAATCCACAGGGTATTCCATGTGTTTTTGTATTATCTGACTCTACAATAAAATCGTTATATGCTAAAATATGGGAAAACTTGATCTTGAGGATACCATCGATCAAAGAAAATTTGAAACGAGTTGTTACGGACTGTTATTTACCCTTGACTTTTGCTATTTTAGAAGCTCTACCACAGACTGACGTTAAAGGGTGTTGGATGAATTACATTAGAGTAAATTAATTTTATTATTTATTACAAATGTCTTTCATCAAACTATTTTCGTAAATTAATTTTTTTACAGATGGCAGCGAGACAATGGAAAAGTTGTAATTTAGTAAATATGAGGCATGAAGTATTGAAATGGAGTTTTTTAATTCCATCATTACCCCCGGATCAATTTAAAAATGCTATCATGGAAATTAATGAAACAATTCGAGATAAAAAAGAAACTTACATTGAGCCCGTAACAGAAAAGTTTATGAGTTTTATTAAAAGGTGGTGGGAACCTGCAGCAACGATAATATCATTTTCGAATAGTACCAACGATTCAATAAATATTTCGGAATATTTTGATCGGCATATGGGAAGTGAATTTGGATCTTTAACCCCAGACATTTTTCAATTTTCAGGTATGTTTTATTAAATTCAATGTATATAGAACTATTACTATGATTATTATTATTATTATTATTAATATTATTGTTATTATCATTTTAACTAGAGTGTATAAAGAGAATTTGCGATAATTCAGAAAATACGTGGAAGATGATGGAAAGAGGTGCTCAATTTGAATTGTATGAGAAACAATCCTTTATCAAAATAAATAATCATATTTCTAATAACTTGGAATTACTATCCGATGGAAAAATATCACTTGAAGAATATTTTAAACAAGCTATGACCTCTGATATTCACGAACTGATTTTGAAAATTTTAGAAACACGTCAATGTAAGTAAAAATTAAAAAAAAATTAAAGTTATAGGGAAATTTTATTTTTATTATCTAGAAAGCTTTTTTTAACCAAAAATAACTCATTTATTAAAAATATCACTAAGGGAAAGTATTCAGCAGCTGCTCAGGAAACAGTACCTGCTCATTCCATGTATTTGTATGCATTTGAGAATATAGATATACAGACACATACAGTGGACACATATTGGTTTATGAGCAGCTACTAGCCACTTTACCTTATATTATAAACATTTGGGCACAGTAAATTATATTTAAAAAATTGTAAATACTTCTATTCATCTTGTTGCTGATTATTGTATTCTTCTAATTTTTTAAAGTTGTTTATTAGTAGTAATAAATTATGTAGTCAAGAATAAATAACAGTAAGAAGCTGCTATGGACAATGCAACTCAATCAAGAAGATTTTTTAAATCGTTAATTTGAATTATATTATAGTTAAATATCTTTAAGGTCACAATGGCAAACTTTATTTTAGAAGACTAATATTGATTTTGTCAATTCATTTGACAATATTCTGAAAATTATAATATTAATAATTTGACTAATTTTATTGATTTTAATATGTTGCAGATAAGAATGATGTTGGAAGATTGGATGAATTTCATAAAAATTGAATATTTATGAAAATATAAACATTTCAAATGAATTCGCATTGTTCATGATAACATTTTTTTTTGTTTAATGTTACCTTAGTGATTAATAGATTGTTTATAAATGAAGTTAGTGACAAACATATACTATTACGAAAATTCCCCATTCATTTAGATATTGTCTGTTTCATAAAATGGAGTTAATTGAGAGCGATGGCTTTAAGCCAAATTCAAAAATATATTCCTATGGCGATTGGATCTATCACAAATGTCAAGGCACAAGTAACCGTTACTACTGCGCGCAGCATTCAACTAAATTTGCCTGTCCAGTCGTACTTAACAAATGCGATGACGGAGAAATTAAAGTTGACGAATCCGAACACAATCATATTCAACCAAATCGGAATACGAAGTTGGAAATAACGAAAAAATTAAAAAAAGAAGCATTAAGTAATTTACCAGTACATGAAATTGTTAATAAAGTTTTGAAAATGTAAGTGAGACAATAATAACTATAATAATAATAATAGTAACAATCAATAGTAATTCTTTCAAATTATTGTATTTCTATAAAGTTACAAGAATCCAACAATCAACGTCGCAGCTGCTAGACAAATAGTTATTAGAACTATTGCAGAACATCAAAAAGATAGTCCAAGTAATATGTTTGAACTGTCTGAATATTTACAAAGCAATGAGTTGTATTCACAATTTTTTGTTGGAGAAGCAATAACTAAAAATAGAAAAGAGATTGCTGTATTTTTAGGATCAACTATGCTAATAAACAAATTGAAAAGTAGCTGCAGAAGTAACTATCGATGGATCATTTAGAGTAATTTGTTTCAATGAGTCATATTTATAAAAGCCTACTATTTCTTAATTTATAGTTTATTTTATTATTTCAGTGTTTGCCAGTAAATTTAGAAGCTTATCAGCTTTTAACGTTTCATTTACACGAAGGAAATAATGTAAAATATTAATAAATTCCTTTTTGTAATGCATAATATAAATGGATAAACTAAATTTAGATTTTTTCATAGGGAATTACTGCTCTATACATCTTATGCAGTGCAAGAAGCTATGAATTATACGGTTGTATTTTTAAAAAATTGAAAGAAATGAAAATTTTGAATTTCACAAAAGCAATGTGCCCCTACGATCATATTATTGTGGAAACCTTAAAAGAAGTATTACCTGAAGTAATAATCAGAGGATCATTGTTCAGCTTCGTAAAGGTATACATTATAATTATTAATTTTCTTAATTTAAAGATAATGTCAAGTTAGTAATTTTTAAAAAATTATTAATTTACTTATGACAAGTGCATGTTGCTTGAAAATATTGCACGTATAAATATATTAAATTTATTGATTTAAAAACATAATTATCTGATACTAAAAATAGAATATATCCATTTAATTCAGCTAATGACTAGAAAGTGGTCATCTCTTGATTTGCCGAAAGACTATACTCACACAGTCTTCAAAACTAGCATGATTTTAAAACTATTACCACCTGAAAAAGTTAAGGAAGGAATAAAAGTGGTAAAACACCAAGCAGAGCTTGAATCTGACAGATTTGAAGATCTTCTTGCTTTTGCAAAATTCGCTGAAAAGTGTTCACCTCTGATTGAAGAGTCAACGTTCACTGGCGACAATATCAACGAAGCGATTGACTATGCAGAATCCCATAATTTACATATGGTGAAACAACTGGGAAAACATGAAGGTCTCCATTCTTTTCTGAGTAATTAAATTTCATATACTATAAGTTAGTTATCACACAGAGAAAGAAAATTCATTACATTAACTTTATAGTCTAGTGACATGTACGAATGTGCTTCATGGTGGTATCTAACGACATTAATCTCTACAGTGAAAGCTCGAAGTCTTTTTCTATGTAAAAGAACATTCTATTTGCATCTTAGTAAAGATAAATATTTAGAGCTACACTGATAAATTGGCTTTATTTTAAGTATAAATAGACATATCTTCTTAGAAAATGAACTAATGAGTTTTGATTACAGAATTACTGAAAATAAATATTTAAAAAAATGAAGATTTGAGCAAAAGTAGAGGAAATCATAATAAGATGAAAGTCAATGTCAGAGTAACGAAGTCTATTGTAAAAGAACAAGAGAAATTTAAGAACAAAAATCAAACTGTAGAAAAATTTCTAAATTTTATAATGCAAACAAATATGGAGAAATTTTTAATGTTGCAGTCGTCATGGCCTCAGTGTAAGTTTATTTTTATTTGTCTCAACTGTAAATATTTTTTTCTGACAATATTATCATAACATTTCATAAATCTTGCACAATAAAATGGTAAATTGATTTAATATTACATGAAATATACTATCTATTTTTATTCAGATCGTGATGATGCAGGGAAATTACTTCGTTTGCCAAACTTTCATTGTTACCATCTTGAAAGCAGTGAGTAAATTAATTTAATGTTGTTGATTTTTTTTTATGTATGATAACATGTGAGGAACAATTTTTTAATTATATTTTCTAGAACCAAGTGAAGATTGCGTGTATTGTATGACCGAAAAAGCTTGTGTACAGATAAATCTCTGTAAACACGTGATTGCCTGCATGACATGTTGGATTTTCAATTATTACTCGATGAAACGAAGGAGATGTCCATTATGTAGAACAATATACGATAAAGTCACTATTCATTAAGTTAAATGAATTCTCCAGAATTGTTGTTAATCTTCTACTATTTAACTATCCTATTTTACAACGCAGTAACAACTTACAGTTGAAGTTTTTTAATTTTTAAAAGTTTGTCTTAGAAGAAATTTTAATACCTCGAATTATTTACATGGTAAATTTAGATGTCACGTAAAATATTCTTCTTTTCCCAGAATATAAAATTTATTTCTTCCATGAAATTTGATTAGTTAAAGTGAACTTTTTTTCTGCATAAAATTTACTAATTTAAATTTTTGGAACTTGTTACAGTTTTTCAAGAGCGCGTCAAAAAGAGGAGAGTGGCATGAATCATTTCTATGGTATGAGCAATTCAGCGACTATCACTTCCTCTCGAATTGGAGGACTGACAGATATTATAGGATTCATGAAGAGTTTCCATTATTTGAATAAATAGGATAAAGTCTACTTAAAAATTTCAAAGATTAGGATCAAAAAACTTTATCAATCTATGTTACACTTTCTAAAATAACTAATAATCGTTAATATATGCATACTTACCCTTTAATTATGTATAATTGTTCCTGGAAAAAGTTGAAATTTACTTAAGATATAATTATTTGTTGTAATTATTTAACAAATAATGCGTTTAATAAAAATCAAATTTAAATGAAATCGAATTGTGTGCAAAACTTGGAAAAATTATAGTAATAACTAAGTAATTAAATAGTAATAAGTAATTATAATAAAAAAATTAATTATCACCTTAACAGAAGTCGCTGATTGCAAAGCTGAAAAAGTTGTCTGTGCTCCACCAGTAGAGGCAGAGCTCACAGCGATGGCTTGTTGCATCGCATGGGTAAACATTTCCATAGGTACGATTCCAGAATTGAAGCTTTCTGTTGATGCCGAAGACGAAGAGCTTGAGGGAGGTAGTGCTGATTGAGTACCAGCAACGGTACGTGCCAGAGCCGCGGTTGTAATCGCGCCGGTAGGAGTACGCGGTTGATTGCTGCGTTCATCGCTGATGACGAGTGTCATTACAGCGTGTTTATTTAAGCTATTACTTATTTTTTAATTTTTTAATCTATAAATATTGTATTTTTTTTTTTTTTAAGAAAATAATTTTCTTGTGTCAAGAGGAAAAATTCTTGAATTGAGAATAATTTCTTCACGGTGAGAAATTTCTATTATTTTTTATTCTGCATGGATTTTTAATTTTACAATGGTGCATATTACTAGTGAATCTTATTGACTCAGAATAAAATTTTACAATGGTCCATAGTAATTTCCGAATTTGTTTTGAAATCAGACATAGCAAACGGTAGAAATTAAAATGTACCATAGTGAAATGAAATATGCAATAATTTAAATTTCCGAATGTACTGTAGCAAAAAAAATAAGAAAATGTTTGTAAAAAATAAAAAATTTTAATTAAAAAATATTTTTAGCAATCAAAAAAAATATCAAACCAAACAAGATTTTTTTTTTTGTTTGTAATAATTTTTAAAAATATTTTTTTAAAATATAGTTTTTTTTATTTGTTTTTTATTTTTAATTTGAACGTAGGATTTATTTTGGCAATTAATTTTATTATAAATAATTATAAACACAATATATAACTTTTCCATTATTTTTTATTATAATAATAATATATTATTAGAAAAGTGTTGGTTGCAGGTTAACCATCAAATGTTTGTTTTAATCTTAATTTTTCTCGGTAAATTATTAAATATTTTATTATTTGGGAATCTTACAAATTTTTATTAATTATTCATATGTTGATGGATTTATAAACTAATATTTATTTAAAACAATGTTTATTGCAATTAACATATGAATAGTTAATAAAAATTTGTAAGATTCCTAAATAATAAAATATTTAATAATTTACCGTGAAAGATTAAGATGAAAACAAACATTTGATGGTTAACCTGCAACCGACACTTTTCTAATAATATATTATTATTATAATGAAAAATAATTTAAAAGTTATATATTGTGTTTATAATTATTTATAATATAATTAACTGCCAAAATAAATCCTTCGTTCAAATTAAAAATAGAAAACAAATAAAAAAAACTATATTTTAAAAAAATTTTTTTAAAAATTATTACAAACAAAAAACATCTTGTTTGGTTTGATATTTTTTTTGATTGCTAAAAATATTTTTTACCCTAAAATTTTTTATTTTTTACAAACATTTTCTTATTTTTTTTGCTATAGTACATTCGGAAATTTAAATTATTGCATATTTCATTTTACTATGGTACATTTCAATTTCTACCGTTTGCTATGTCTGATTTCATTTGTTTCGGAAATTACTATGGGCCATTGTAAAATTTTATTCTGAGTCAATAAGGTTCACTAGTAATATGCACCATTGTAAAATTTAAAATCCATGCAGAATAAAAAATAATAGAAATTTCTTACCGTGAATGTAATAATTTACAGCATTCCAGTGTTGTGTAGGAAAATTAAGGAAAGATTAAAACTTCTTTTGACTAGTAGTTCATGTTCAGCAATTAGTGAGATTGGAAGTAAGAATAGAAAATAGATTATTTGAGTTTGGTCATAGCTACATACTAATTAATTTAGTTTAATATCAGAATATGGTACTTTGCAGGAACAATAATATATTTGTATAGCACAATGATGGAATTATTGGTTTAGAGCCCAAGCTCTTAGTTGAGCACTCTTCTCTGTGTAATTTACCAAGGCCAAAATTATCTTCACGTCCGTTGTAGAGAGTAGCGATGACAGTGGAACATCTGGAGCCAGGAAACTACCTAGATAGTGTTGTCGTAGGGTGGTGAACAGTGGGCACTTTAATAGAAAGTGTTCGATGTTGTCTGGTTCATACATGTTGCAAAGTTGACAGCTAGTGTTTGGAGTAAAGTGTATAGATTGCTTGTTAATTATTAGCCGACAGTAAAATTTATTTACAAGTCTGTGTTGGGCAAATATCCGTTTAACGTTAAGAGACACTTTATAGGTCAAGTATTTGGCTGGAGCTAGCTGCAGTGGTCTCTGGATGCTGAATTCTAGTGCTCTGGAGAGTCTCGCGGATTCCAAGTCCTTGTTCAGCAGGATGCTTTTTTATTTGTCGAAAACATGATTGGCTCTTGCTTCCCACAAGCGGGGGTCCATTGTTTCCATGAGCTCAACGCTGTCGCATTCAATAAGGAATTCTCTGAGTTGGGACGCCCAGTTGTAGGGCTGTGCAGTAGGTGTCGTCTTTGCAAGATGGACTAGCCGTGTGAGGCATATTTTACTCAGCGAGGAATCCTGCTCTTTGAGTGTTTTTACTGTCCAGTTCCACAGCTGGTGCATTGCCTTCCATGAAATCGGCGTGAGCCCGAATTCTAGACGGAGAGCCTAGTCTGGCGTGTTGCGGGGGAGTTTGTATATTCTTTTGTAGAATTGTGTCTGTACTAATTCCAACGAGTTCCGGTACCAAAGCCCCCGGGTCCAGGCTGGCCAGGCTGGGAACACGTACAGAAATACAGATGCAACCATGCTGTCGAATAATTTGGTGTAGACCTTCAGGGAGTCACATTTAGCCCTTGCCAATAATGATACGGTAGCTCCGATTGCACATTTGGCTTTATTGGTAGCTGATTGCAGTGCGGTGAGTCCCCTTGTGGAGGAGGAGATCTTCACGCCCAAATAGGAGTAGGCATTAACAATGTCCAAACAGATGCCTTTGTACCTTCTGAAGTGTTCAGGGCATTCCCTGAGTCGCCCTGCAGCTTTGAAGGTGACTATTTCAGTCTTTGAACTGTTGACAGTTAGTCCATTAAGGTCGCAATACTCTTCCAATAGTTTAAGTTTACGCATAAGGTCTACGTGCGAGTAGGCGAGGATAACCATGTCGTCGGCAAATAGAAGAATTAGGAGGTCATTTATACCGTTTATATCTAATCCACGAGCATCTTTGCTTCTGAAGAATTTTTCAATGTCATACATAAATAGTAAGAAAAGGTCCGGGCTCAATGATTCTCCCTGCAGTACTCCCTTCGTAACCTCAAATTTTTTAGATTTTTCCCCTTGCGACACAATTTGTATAGTTGCTTGGTCATATAGAGATTTAATGATGTTGATAAGTTTAGTGCTGGTGCCAATATGATGAAGCTTCTGCCACAATTTCCACTGCGGAACAGAGTCGAAAGCTCTTTGCAGGTCAACAAAAATTCCATAAACTTCCCGTCCATCCTTGTGCCGAAATTGTAGCTGGATGGTGTTGATCAGCGTAAAAATGGCGTAAAAATGGCATCGGTACAGCTGCGACCCTTGCGGAAGCCCATCTGACTCTCGGGCAGGATATTTTCCAACTCAACCCACGTTGTTAGTCTCTTCTTAAGTACAGATGTAAAGATCTTCGTGATTGTGTTACAAAGAGCAATGCCTCGGTAGTTCTTGGGATCATTCTTGTCTCCTTTCTTGTACAACATGATTACCAATGCCTCAGCCCATGAACTAAGTATTTGCTCTTCATTTAGTACATTGTTAAATAAGCACCTAAGATTTTCTTTCCAATGCGGTGTCAGGTTTTTATAGACTTCGTTAGGAAGCAGGTCTGGTCCAGCAGATTTACCCGCTTTGAGTGATGAAAGTACCGTCACAAGTTCATCGTACATAATTTCGCCATCCAGTGTTTCGTTGAAAATTCTATCAGATATTGGTGAGGCAATATGTCTGGAAGCATAGACCTTGGAATAAAAGTCGTTCCAGGTATCTATTGGTATGGACGAGCGTAAGGCAGGTCTGGTGGATAGTTTTCTGACGGCTGACCAGAAGTTGGATGGCATTGTGACTGTGTTGAATGTTTAACCGCTAGAAAAGAGATCTAGTCAAATACTTATAAGAGAAATTACGCCTTCGGGCTTAATCGTTAAAACTCGAGAATAATCGTATGAACTCGGGAATAATCGTATCACGCTATGGCCGTCGCACATGCGCGCCTTGGTTAGCGGTAGAGAAGCCGGCTCGCGTGGTCTGCTGCAACAGTTGTGCTTGGACTTCTGTACTAAATTATCAGACTCAATTGACTAACATTTTGTTATCAATTGAATATTATTAGCTCTCATCTAGAGACAATTAAATATTATTAGCTCTCACCTTGAGACAATTTATCTAATTAATTGAACATTATTAGCTCTCGCCTTGAGATAGTTCATCTAATTAATTAGATATTACTAGCTCCCTCCTTGGGACAGTACAAATTCAAATTATCGATAATTTTCTTTATACGGTGGCTGAGCTCACCCCTATTGCGTTATTGCAACGTAATTTATACACACACACTTACACACATACAACTTACTTGTATAATTTTCATCAAGGAGGTTTTTTCCCAGCCTAGCTGGGTTTCCCTCCTTTGGGGACAAATAAATTTTTCTAAATTGTTCCCCAAAAATTCCAAGTATTATTATTTAATTTCCTAATCCCAACTTTATCATATAATTTAAAACAATTACGGGAATTATCCGCATTGGATAGTTTTCGACAAAACATTGAAAGTGTCACTAAGTCTTTTGTTGTAATCCTTTTGTTTAGTGCGACATACAACTTTATATTTTTCTTTGCATTTAGCTGATTCAAACCGGGCTTGTTGGCTGTAGTTTTCTTTTTTGCAGGATCTCAGGGCCTTACGATATTCTCTTTTGGCAACTTTACATTCAGTGTCATACCAAGGACTTTCTCGTTCAGTTGGAGTGTGACCAGAACTATTTCTTGTTGTTAATAGATTAGCTTTGCCGGATGCAGAAAGTATAGCTGAATGTAATGCCGTGTGTTGGGAATCTGAATCAGTTGAGTTATTGCTGGAAGTGTATCTGTCAAGATGGCGGTAGAAGTCTTCTTTTGCATTGTCGGACCATTTGATCCAAGTGGTAGGAGTTGACAATTTTGTGTGAGCGTGTGATGCAGTATTTTTTTCCCCCGCAGCAATTTTCAAGTTTACAGGTCTGTGGTCCGATAGAGATGGTTCTAAAATGATCTCTAGATCTACTACTCGGTGTAAAGCTTGTTGATTGATCCACACTAAATCAATGATAGAGGTCCCGACGCTGTCAAAGGTGGGTTGTGCTGGTGTGTCGCTAGGAGCTCTACCATTCAGTAGGACAAAATCATTGTCCAGCATGAATTCCATTAAGCGACGACCTCTATTGCAGATTGATTCATCGGTGCTTAACATTATGCCCTGTAGAACAGAGTCTACGAAGAGTTCCTCTGGCCAGGGATTCAAAGAACCCACTTTTGCGTTTGTATCTCCTCCAAGAATGAATACATCGTAGGTGTGGGCAGTTTTAATTTCATCAATTGTGTCCTGAAATAGATCAAGCAGATAATTTATGTCTAAGCATGAGCGAAAATATACTGACCCAATGATCAAAGTTGTCGAATCAACTGTTACCAAGTTAAAGATCCACCAGAGGGAAGTATCCAGGACTGTTGTGGAGTATTTTTTATTGACTGCCGTGAGTAAACCACCGCTGGCACGTCCAATAGCGAATTCTCTAACTGCGTTGGACCAAAAAATGTTGTATTTTGCTAAGCTTGTAGGAGATATTTGCGGAGGATTGTCACACCAAGTTTCACATGTTGCTAATATATCAGAAAATTTTATCAGTGAGCTTTCTTTAAGATTTCCAATGCCATGTAGGTTCCAGAAGGTTATATTTATCGTTCCTGCCAAGTACTGTTCCAGTTATTGGGTGTGTTTATCATGATTTGTGTTGTGTCGCCTTGGTGGTATTCCTGGACGCTGGGGTATCAAGGAGTTGTCTGCATCACTCCATATGTATTCTAGGTTTTCCATTAAAACCTTGTTACCTTTTCTGGTAACTTTTTTTCCCTGCTGCGTATTGTTTTTAATGAACTGCCTTATATTCCAATCTATTTCTCTTTCTTTGAGGGTACGATCCGAATCTATGAAGATTTTTGTACCTTTCAACTTTTCCTTTTTCGTTCTTAATATGTCAGCTTTCATGGAGGGGTTGAAGAGATCAACGATGACATTTTTGCTATATTCCTTAATAGAAATATTGTGGATCTGGATCCCAAACTTTTCTTGCAGAAATTTCTGAATCTCATCGTGGTGATTGCTGGACTTGAAAGAAAGACCAGCGATGGAGATTTTAGTTCTTCTGTTTTCTTTTTCGAGTGTTTCAAGTCTCCTGGAGATTAGTTCGAGTTGCTTTGTCTGGGTCAAGTCAGAAGGAGGAGCATTGGAGGCGAGCGACTTTTTGATGGTCTCTAAATCGGAGACTTTTACTGTGTTGTGCTCGAGCGTTATAATATGACTACCAAGGTCGGTTTGTGTGTCCTTTAGTTCTTTGCTGAGCTCATCGAATTTCTTTTGGAACCCGTCGAAAGCCTCCGAGTTTTTTTTTGAAGTTAGCCTCCATTTTCTTGGTGAGCTCGGCATGTTTCTTCTCCTGGTCCTTCCTCATCTCCGCGAGTTCACTGAGAATTTTCTCCATGTCGAGGTCTTCTATAATATCCGTATCTGGTGGGGAGGGAGAAACCATTGAAGCATTTGTTTTCTTAGTTGCAGGACTCACGCTATCCTTGTGCTGCTCTTCTGGTTCTCTTTTCCTTTTTGTGTCTAGATAGTTTATTATCGAAGAGCAGGAATTGGATTTTGTGAGATTAAACCTCTATGCATTAGTTGGTCTGCCTCTATTTATTGTCTTGAGGGTAGCAGTCAACGGAGCGAGCTCAGAGCAGCTTCTTTCTTGTCCAGCCGAGTTGCCAATTGATTTATCAACGAGGTCCGTTTCGGCTCCAAAGATGTCGCTTGGTGTCATCGATGAGCGAGAGCCGCCGAGCAGGAGGCAAAGACAGACAACTAAATAGATATAACCTGGTTGCTTAAAAGCAACTCTGAAAATGCCTAGAGTAAAAATACCAGTCGGAGAGTAAGAGATGCTATTATTTTATATTAAAAAACAACACTGGAATTTATTAGTTTGCACAATTTTGAGTTTTAGTTTCACACACTTGTTGCAAAAATTGTAAAAATTATTAGGAGCTTTAACAACACGATACGTTAGGCACAGGCCCTCTATCGGTACCCCTTACCAAAAAAAGTTATCAATTTCCGATAAGTTTAGTTGTTTAGAAGTTATTAACTAATTTTACATGACGTCAAATTAAAACATATATGTTCATGTATTTTTTTTTAGTTTTGTAGAATGCTTAAATACTTAGAATCACCCTAGCGGATCCGTATACACTGTGTATACTCGGAGTAAATTCGGTGTAAACTTGGTGTGGTGTATACTGGGGGGATACGGTGGGTATATTTGGTATTTTTCGAATAAACACTAAGTATAGATAAAAAATACACTCAATATACTCGGTGTGAATTCGAATCATATACCACAAGTTTACACTGAGTATACACCAAAAAAATTTTCTATCTCCAGACAGTGACAAAGTTGTCAGAGTTGTCAGTGAGGAAATTTTTTTCGAATAAAGAAAGTAGGTATGAATCGTCCGAAAAGGACCTGAAACGAACGAATAACAAAATCAGATGAACGTTTCTTGGTGTATTACTTTCAATGCGTATACTGTAAAAAATTTTTTAAGTCCATTAAGGTAAAAGTCCCTATTATGAGACGATGTCCCCATTTATGATACACTACATAAAAATACTATTTTATAAAAAAAACACACCGCTAGCATACCAAAAGTATAATAAATATATTATTTCATCTATTCCAAAAGCAATTTTCGACTTTGGTTGTTAATTGATTCCATACTGTTTTTTAAAAATATTTATTAAAGTGCGAGGTTTGTTATCTGTGCTCAAAGCCACGACCGAGAATAGTAAAACGACAACGGCTACCTAGTTTTTTATATTAGTGTAATTTCATTGTGTCTTCTACTTTTATATTAAATTGTATATCAATTGAAAGCTGATGAGTAATAGACTTTATTTCTAGTAATACACATTTATGCGTTTTTTTTTATTACAATATTTTAAATATGAGTGTCTCACAATACCTACACTTATTTACGTGAATGCCCCGGTTTATGAGACACTTTTCTCGGTGTATAGTGTAATACGGACATATGTTTTTCGGCTTCTCCCGATTAAGTGAGACAGTGTACATTTATAAGATTTTATATTGCTAATATGTGATATTAATTATAAAAATAGTATAATTATATGTTATAAAATATTGGCTACTATTAAACCTCAAATATTTTTCTAAAAGTAAGTATTTTAAGTCAAATAGTTTTAGATCATGAGCCTAACCTCAAATCATAACATAGAATAACTTTGTCAACAAGTTTTTCTGTTTTTTAATTAAATCTTTTGGATAAATTTATAATATTTTTTTGTATATTGATTCTGAAAATATATTATTTATTTCTTATTATTTCAGAGTAAGTAAAAAGTAAATTATAAAAAAAAGCTGAGATAATGAAGCATAAACAAAATTCCAAAGTGACAAAAACTCAATCATCAAATTCAACCAAAAAAAAAAAAAGTGTTGTGTTCCAATATGAATAATAAAATGAAGGAAAAAAAAATTAAAAGGATTAAGTAATTATAATTCGTGAAATATAAAAAAAGCTCTAAAAGCAATGGAAGACACAGAGTTGTCCTTGAGAAAAGCAGCTGCTGTTTATGGAGTACCGATTGTTACCCTTGCTAAATGAAAAAGTATTAGTCCTAAGAAGGCAAAAATTAGAACTGGGCCAGTGACAGTGTTATCTTTAAAAGAAGAGGATGTTATTGTTCAGTGGGTGTTGTACAGAGCAGTAATAGGGTCACATGTGACAAAAACTGAATTATTGAAGACGTATAACAATCCGTTACTGTCTTAGACAATCATTTTAATGTGATAAACTGTGAACAAAATAATTTAATTAATGATGAACAATTTTTTACGGTTACATATGAATCTAATCAAGTTAGTCTTCAAGAATCATCAATTGATAGCAATAACGTAATACAGTGCACTTCTAAAGACTTCAGTGAAGACAAACTAATTGATCAAACTATCTCTACTGATGATACATATTTATATCTGCAAAACCCAGAGAGATTATAACAGAGCTCACAAATATTAATTCTACAAATCTTATAAACAACAAAGTTCATCAATTAGGTATGTAAATGTCAACCTCACATTCATGTTCAATAAATTTAACTTAATGTGACTTTTTTTCAGAACTTATAAAAAAAAATTTAGATCCAGAAAAAACATGAAAGAAGAAAAATTTAACAATAAAAAAATATTACAAGAAGAAAAAAAAATTAATGGCTCAAATCAAGGAATGACAAAAAAAATCAAGAAAGAACAATAGATTTAATTCAATAATTTGCGTTGATTAATTGTTTAACTGATAAAAAATTTTTTATAAGTTAATTAAAAATAAAAGTAATTCCTTCTTTTGTAAATACGATTGTCTAAAATTGATAAATATATAAAATTTGATCAACTTTGCTGATTTTTTAACTGTCTCAAAAATAGGGTCCTGTGGTTCGAGACACTGGGACATGTGACTTTAAAGTGTCTCATAAATAGGGTCATGTAGCTTCCCCAAAAAAACCATAATTTAATTAATTTTTGACCAAAAAAACTATAAAAACAATATAAATATTGATTTAATGATCATCAAATTATCGTATAAAGCGATTAAAAGTGTATTTTTTTCTTAAATGGATTAATTACTCGCAGGAATGTTCAACCTACCTTGAAAAGTGTCTCATAATAGGGACTTTTACCTTAGA